TATGATATTGATGTAGCTTCGATGAAAAAATATTTTATTTTACTTAACACAAAAACAATTTTGATATGATAATTCTACTCGTAAAAATAAAATTCCCTTTTTAACTAAAACAGACATATTATTTTTTCCGTTTGGGAAACACAACTTCTTGTTTTAAAGTAGGATCTTCCTCTTGTTTTATTTTCTTGTATTATCTTGAGATTAAGTTTATTTCGCAAAAAAGGTTTAGAGCTCTCTAAAGGAATTATCGTTGCCTTTTTTCTCACGTAAGAAGCCGTCTCGTCTCGTATTTTAATTTATAATAAACAACAGAAGAATAGATCTACAGCGTATTAGAAAGAATTTAGAGGAAAATTTATAGTGTGGAAACCACTTATGGAATAAAAGTTTGTATCCTTATTTTAGAAAATAATGTTGAGATATTAACTTAACACCTACCTTAAAAAAACGTTGAGATACCTTAACTTTATTCCACCTTCCACGAGGAAACTAAGTTCCTGTAGCTGGCTGTATACCATATATCACAAAAAAATTTTGTTTAAATTTTTTTATAAAAGGTATATAAAAATGCCTCAAACGGGCTATTACAAACACATTGCAAAACGTTTTCGGATTAAACAATCCATCATCAGTGCAAACCTGAAAGTATATAACCACTTTAATTAAAAAGAACGTTAAATGAAAATGTTGACAAAGGTTAGAGCAAAATGTGGTTAATACTTACGGTTGTACATGCTAGTAGCCACCAAAATATATGGGTAAAAACCCTTTAAATGTTATAAATTTGAAGTTGTTTTACATTATTAGTATTTCTAATTTGTGATGGTTAAGTTGCCGTTGGATAGGTAACATGGCGGCGTATGAGTCTACATGAGTAAAATGGTCCTGAGACGAAGTGCCTACGAGGACCTGTTGATAACAACTGATCAAAATGACATTGTTGACAAGTTAGGACGGATGTTGTGTCAGAGCAGTCAGTGTAACTTACGGTAGTTGTCTAAAATTGACAGATGTCAGCCTTATTTAAAATTGAAAAAGTTAAATTGAAAAAGTTAACATATAGGGCCTTTTGTTTTCTTGAGTTATAACTCGAGCAATGTAGGAACAATATCACACCTAACCATCTTTCAGCCGTCAATTTTCTTTCAGTCTGGCATAATTGCCCATACACATAAACAACCTACCATCTTTACTTTACACACATAACCAGTAATTCATGTTCACTTACTTATAACTTAAAAATCTTTTTTTATTTATCTTTACTAGGTACCAAATGTAATTTTTTGACATAGAGGGCCTTCCATACTTAAGTTTTAAGTTGAGTACTACATGAACACCACATTATGATCACATTCTTGTCATATTTACATTTCAGCTTAATAACATATCTAAACACACCTCCACCCATTACATCAATACTCAATAATATATCTTTTAGGACCCATCTTCCCACATGTGCCTTTTTACCATTTTCTAAGTACCTAATGTCTCACAACATACAGGGCCTTTTGACAAAATCTCTAGCTTAAAATAAATATTTCCTTACACATGTATAGTTGGTTGCCTATCAATCCTACAAAATTTCATAAATTCTAGTTGACCTACATTAATTTTTAAAAAACCAATTTTCAATGTTACAAATATACCTCTCTGATTAATTTACAATACAGATTACAATATTGATGGTTGGTACTGTTACATTGTTATAATTTTAACTTTTTCAATTTTAAATAAGGCTGACATCTGTCAATTTTAGACAACTACCGTAAGTTACACTGACTGCTCTGACACAACATCCGTCCTAACTTGTCAACAATGTCATTTTGATCAGTTGTTATCAACAGGTCCTCGTAGACACTTCGTCTCAGGACCATTTTACTCATGTAGACTCCTACGCCGCCATGTTACCTATCCAACGGTAACTTGACCATCACAAATTAGAAATACTAATAATGTAAAACAACTTCAAATTTATAACATTTAAAGGGTTTTTACCCATATATTTTGGTGGCTACTAGCATGTACAACCGTAAGTATTAACCACATTTTGCTCTAACCTTTGTCAACATTTTCATTTAACGTTATTTTTAATTAAAGTGGTTATATACTTTAAGGTTTGCTCTGGTTTGCGTTGATGATGGATTGTTTAATCCGAAAACGTTTTGCAATGTGTTTGTGATAGCCCGTTTGAGGCATTTTTATATACCTTTTATAAAGGATTTTAAACAAAATTTTTTTTATTCCACCTTGTTGTTGGCAATAACACAGTCTCCTATAAAACTCGTCCCGAACTTTGTTTAAAGTTTGAGGTAGAATATTCCGTATTTCTGTAGTTGTTCTTTCTTTGAGGTCTTCAATGCTAGTTGGTTGAGTTGCATATAGTTTGTTCTTGAGATAACCCTACAGAAAAAAATCTAAAGGCGTATCTGGCGACTTACCTGGCCACTCAATAGTAATCCTTTGTCCAATCTATTTATTGAGAAGACTTCATTCAAGTAATTTCTCACCATTAAAGCATAATGGGCTGTTGCACTGTCCTGCTGGAACTAGACAGTTTTATGCGGTAAGGTCAGATCTATTGGATTGAAATATAAGGATATGGATATAAGGATATTGGATATGGAATGAGAGATTTTATCAAGGCAATCCAGCTGCGAGGAAATCTACTGCCAACTAGATGCATCCCTTCAAATCCACCACATGAACGGCGGTGCCGAAAGGGATGCGAACGTAACAAGAGCCTTAGTCACGATCTCCAAAAGTGCCCCGCAACATAGTGGCACCGCATCAAGACACACGATCAGCTCGTTACGTATTTGCGAAATGCAGCTGAAAAGAAAGGGTAGATATGCCAGGTTGAGCCGCGAATAAGATGCGCTGACGGGACTCTTAAGATACCTGACCTTGTCGCGCATCTGGGTGAGCAGGTAATTGTCGTGGACGTTACCGTCAGCTAGGAGGGTCGTAAACTCCTTAGTACAGCCCCTGCCAATAAAACAGCGCTATACACTGAGCCTCGATTCCTTCAGACCATGCAGACCCAATATCCAGGGAAACAAATTTGCATGGCACCTCTAATCATGGGAGCTCGCGGAAGATGGTGTCAGTCAAATTCTCGTGTCATGAGAATTTTCAACTTTTCAAGGTTCGACGTCCGCAATTTCATCACAAAGGCAATTACGGGTAGCATCCATATTCATAGTCATTTTGTAAGGTCCTAACATAAATGACTTACGATCCATTATTTTCGAGTATCTCATATCGGCTTCTTCCTATCGTGGGACCTACGTTCATCTAGTTAGGGTTTTACTGATTTACCACGTAGATATTTGTGTCGTCCCTTTATGTCTGTATTGTCCCATTTTTCTACTTTTTACTTAATTACTTTTTTTTAACTTTTATTGATAGCCCTTATTGGCTATTTGGCTAACTTTTACAAGCCCACGACAGTGCGTTGGCTCTAGTTTTGTTAGGGGGGGGGGGGGTGATCGGCTCGCATGATTAAATCTGGCCAAAGATCGGGCCATACACTACTGGTCTGTTACTCTCCGGATAGGAACGGGGAGGAACAGACCAGAAGGACTAGGTGTGATAAAAAGAGGACATGGCTCTATTCTGATAGCCAACTGTGGAAGAACATTGTCTCTTAGCATGTTTAAATATTTTTCCGTTGTCAAATTGCCATTTACAAATATAGGAACAATAATATGGTCTCCTATAATACCTGCCAAAACATTTTTGCCTGCAAAACATACCTGCCACTTTTGAGGATACTGAGTGTATGTCTCACGCATAAAATAATCATTCTCCGCTGACCAATATCTACAATTTTGTCGGTTTACCTCTCTGTTCAACGGAAATGTTGATTTATCAGAAAAAAGAATTGTGCCAAGAGCTATTTCATTTGTGCTAATTTTATCCATCATTTTTTCGCAGAAATCCATTCTACGATCTGGATCGTCTTCTGTCTACAGTTCTGTCGACAGTTGTGTGACTAATATTATTTTGACGTGCAATTTGACGTAAAGTTGACGTTGGATTCTCTGCGACACTTAACAAAGTATCCACTTTCACCTCATCTTCAATGAAGTTCGGTTTTGTTTTTAATGGTTTGACATGTCCAAGTTCTCTGAATTGTGCATAAATTTTTGACACAGTACCTTATGAAATATTAGGCAATTGAGGATATCTCTGATTAAATAAGTTTTTTAACCGATTATCATAAAAATTTCAATTCGGTGGGTCTCAGTTAAATATTTCATTTTTATTTCTACAAGAAATTAGCTTTTAAGTAGGAATTTATTATTTTAATGTAAAATGTCTACACACCAACAACTGATTGATAACAATCCGCATTATTTACCGATTTAGTTTAATTAACAGACTATCTAGACAGTTTTTACCTATTCATGACACGGTTACTAAATAAAAAGTTTCTCCAATATATTGACACTTAGAGTAGAAGTGTATTGTCTGTATTTAGCCAATTTAAAAAATACCACAAGTGATAAATTATTATTTTCAAAATTTCACCTTGTATTATTCATTATAGAGCCTACATGATATAGTTCGTTGAAATCAGGTTGTTAATAATGTTTCAAAAACATTAAAATATAATATAAAAATATACAGGGTGTTTCATTAAAAATAAGGATTGGACTATGCCAGACTTGCGTGGATCACTCTGTACATTTAAATTTATGTTTAGCGCATATTCAAATTTAAAAGTTAACGTGTCCCAGAGTTTTTTATTATTTTCTATATTAAGGACACAAACAATTTTCTTCCATAAGTAGTTTCCACGCTGTATATAAAATTTGGTTTGAATGGTAATAACTGTAGTAGAATAAAAAAATAACCATAAAATATTAACTCATCATTTTTAATCGAATTATTTATTCAGCAATTTTTATTTTGTCATCATGTGTTCCACAAGAATCTTATTAAGGCAATAAATAGTAAAGCAAAATGTTTTAGTTAATATGTTAATTTAAACTTACTGTGTCCGGTAGATCCTGCAGGTGCGAATCCTATGGGTCTTGTAATTTCTGAAAAGATATTATACACATTTTAAAAAGATATAAGTAGTAATAATATAGCACATTTTAAAGATTTCATGTATAGGTAATATATCGACATATCTAGGGTCACCATTCTCTTTGCTTTTATCCCTGTTGATATATAGGTAATATATGAACATATCTATAGTAACCATTTTCTTTGCGTTTATCCCTACGGGTTGGCGTCCCTAACTATATCTTTCCGTAAGTTTCTGTCTTGTGTCATACCCTTTATAGACAGATGATGCTCTTCATAGACATTTATCTTGCCTAAGCGTCTTTGAAGAGGTCTTTTTTGAAATTTTTCTCCCACTTTTCGAGAAACTTGTAATTTAGATACCATTCGTATTGAATAATTATCATTTCAGCCTTGAAAGCCTCTAATTATAATAACCTTTTAATAATAATTTATAGAAATTGCCGATCCTATATTGTCAAATTTTCACAAATATTTCGTTATCTTCATGGCATAATAAATATCCAAATCATAATATACGTTATCATCTTTTTTGCAGTAGTAAGGACTTCTTTAAATATAAATTTCATTTTGAGGCAATAACCAGTCCTCCTGTTTAGGAAGATATTGAAGACCTTGTCTAATATAAACATTGTGCAGATGAGAAGCAAGCTGTCTCTGAAGCATATTTCATATATAATCGATAGGGATAAGATTTCGCGATTGTTCTGGCCATGCTAAAAGTATAATATCCTGATTATAAAACCAATCTCTTACTGTTACTGTAGTATGTGGCCTTGTATTAACCTGAACGTAACCCAAATCAGAACTTGCAACAGTAGAAAATAAAAGCATAATAGATTCTAAGATAAGATTAATATATTAGGATTGATTCAATGTGCCTTCTACAAAAATGCAAACAGTTCGATGATACAAAATTATTTCATATTTATAGCTCACACATTCTTACCCTACACAACGAACCATACCTCCCTGGACTATTAATTTTCCCACTATTGATCTATCCCTCACGGCCTATCCAAAGAGTACCACAAATCCCATAATCATTAACAAATTATATCAAGAACGGATATTAGAATACACTGGCCATAACAAGATTTTTACCGATGCGTCAAGAACTGAAAACGGACACGCAGCGGTCTTTATTCTAGGAAAGTCTGAATATGCAGTTCGCATCCCTTAATTCTGCAGCATTTTCACGGGAGAAGCAATCGCCATTTTAAAGGCTTTAGACATGTGTAAGAGTCATGCAAGCTCAGATTTTCTTATCATTACTGACTCTTTATCTGTTCTTCAGAGCTTAAGGCAAATATATCCAGTACATGCTATCCTGCAACAAATACAATTAGCACTTTATCACCAACAAAACAGACACGTGAACGTTACATTTCTCTGGGTACCATCACATACAGGTATCGCAGGAAATGAAAAAGTAGGTGAATTAGCAAAGAAAGCTGCTACTGACAAGCAAACTGAAATTATGACTACAATTCCATTCAGTGATATCCAGCTCAATATTAAACATCACTGTGTAAAAAATTGGCAACAAATGTCGAATTCTACTAAGGCTAACCTTAAAAACGTGAAAACTAGGATTGGCACTAAACTACAATTTCCAGAAAACAGAAGGCAACAAGTGATTATAAACCGACTAAGAATTGGACACACAGCGTTAACTCACCAGCATCTCATAACAAAAGAACTACCACCTGAATGTTCCTATTGTGAATGTCCAATAACTGTTCAACATGTATTGATTGAATGTCCTCTTTATTCCTACGAAAGAGCCATCAACAACGTACCAGAAGAAGCAAAGAAACTTAAAGATATTTTAAACAGTAATGTATCTAATACAATCAAATTCCTTAAGGACATACGTTTACTACACAAAATTTAAGTTATATTATATGTATCTCTTTGTAATTTGTAATTTATTATGTGTAATTTAATACGCAATTTGTAATTAGTAAATTTGTATTTTTAATAACAACTGTAAAATCTGTAAAACCCGCTAATAACCTTTAATGGTTGATGCGGAAATTTTAAATGAAAAAAAAAAAAAAATTCAGTCCACATCATAACTTGTAGACTGCTATATGGGCGAACACCCTGTACATGCCTGAGTATCTCATGTCAACCAGGTCCTCTTCAAACTTTCACTATTCTTTAATCAGGTTAGAGACAAAACATAGCTTCATCTGTTAATAAAACAGAACTCTATTCTTGTAATCCTCAGTTATACATCTTTTTGTGCACACCTTAATCTGAGTCAACGATTTCCATGATGTAACATAGGAGTACTCAATGGACGTTTGGCGTGCAGGTCAGTTTCATGTAAAAGATTCCCTACAAGTTTAACCACATATATGGTAATGTTGTGGGTATTTTCTAAGGCTCCATAGAGTTTACGTGCAGTTATATGCTCATTTCAACGGGCTAATTCTACCACCTACCGATTATAACGACAAGTAGTTTCACATTGACCTTTATGTCTTTCAGTGACATTACCGAATTATTAAAATCGATGCCACCATCCCGAAATCTTACTCAGAGACACGTCAAAATGACGTGAAAGATCATGCCTGAAAGAACAGCACTTACCATTTAAACATGTGTTAAATGGTCCATGAATATCTATCATGATATAATTTAATAATCTTTGTTTGGTAACATTTTTAAGTATCTTAAAATTATCTTTAAAATATGAAGTACTGTATTTCTTTACAATTTAAAGCCATTAAACGTACGAATTTAAGGCGCTGTCACTTTTGCCTTAATAAAACCGTGCAATTGACAGACTAATTTACAAGGCATAACTTTATTTGTAGACAACAAGTTTTTAATCGAATAGTATGTATTAAAAAAAAGTTTTTATTGAAAAAAGTGGAATAATAATGGTATTCCTTAGACATTTTTAATGTGTGTATTTGGTACAACCTTCACGTACTTACCAAGAACTCTTTAATTTGGAGTAAATGCTACAAAAACTTCCTGAGTTACCACATCATATTTTTTCTCAAGATTAATTAATACTATATGAGCGCTTGTGTCTTGATTTTGACATCTTTTTATTAACTGTCTTATAACGAAAACTTTCAGATAGGTATCTAAAATAATCTAACTTATTCAGTCTTCAACACTTAGCCTGTTTTGACTTTGTCCTAAGGTACAAACTGTCAAATAACTATGACATACTGTTATCCACAGTAAGTCTTTTCCAGAAGTTATATATAGGCAAATATTTTTGATTTTAATCAAATAAAATCCATAAACTTCAACAAATCTATCCTTGGTTGCAGTACGTAAAACAACAACGAGTTTACTTCTTTTTGGGTAGTAGTTCCCGAGTTATTTCTTTATGAAGTTGATTTATACACTTGAATGAGCACTTTGGTGAGCTTGGTTTTAAAAAGAGTCGCCTACTATTTAAATTTTTATATGAAAAGTAAATTTTAATTCATATAAGGTAACCTGTCTATAGCCTTTCATTAAACATTTTGACAATAACATAGTCTTTTTTATTCAAATTCAATAAACGTTTACAATACGCCTATAATTTGTAGGTGAGTCAAATGATAATCTTACCTGGACCATGGTTCGTATTGGAGCTACCAACACCAGAAACATGTTTAGGTGGTCCCACAGCACCAGACGAAACATGGCTGTCGGGATAAGATCCAGTTCCTCCAACATTCCATCCTATCGGTCTGTAAACTGGGGCTGCTGGAAGTGGATGATATGCTGGAATCGGCGCAGATGGATGGGAGGGATGGGAATACGACGGCGAGGGATGAGAGTACGATGGAGAAGGATGAGAATATGATGGGGAAGGATGTGAATAGGATGGAGAAGGATGAGAATAGGATGGAGAAGGATGAGAATAGGATGGGGAAGGATGATAGGATGGAGAAGGATGAGAATAGGAAGGATGAGAATAGGAAGGATGAGAGTATGACGGATGAGCTGAAACGAAAATTATAAATTATTTATATTTATTATATAAATATTTAAATTTGGCAACATTGCTGTTTATTTAGTCTATTTATCTCTCTCAGTTAATATTATTTAGTTGTTACGGCGTGTGTTGTTTGAAGCTTGAAAGGTGCATACAGTTTTAAGAGTTTTTTAAAGAATGTGTTAAGGAAGGCTTTTCACGAGGTGAGTTATCTTGGCTAATAGTATTATGTATCTGGATATATTAATGTTTTATGGCGATTTAGTGGGGTACATCTTAGGAGTACAGTTTAATAGTTAAGTTACGCATTTTTGGCGGTAAATTTAAATGGCCAAGCATTGTATCTTATATATGTCAGTGTTATAACGGCCAATTACAGTAGGGGAAAGCGTTGTACCTTGGGACAGTTTTACCTTGGGACGATCTTAATTGCTCTGTCATCTATGATCGACAGACCAAACTAACCTGTTAAATTGTTTCACTTAGCCACCAGGGGTTAGTGTAGAGTGATTGGCAACTTTTAAGAGAACTGTGTGTGAGTTACCGAACAAAATACGAAATTTTCATTGGTAAGTAATTTTTAGTTGTTTTATTGTTTGTTTTTTGTAATTTTTACTCTTTATTTATGAATAAACATAAGACATTATATTATACTCTGAGATGTGCTCTACTAAATGATATAATTATTTATCGTGTACAACTAACCTAAAATATATTTAAAAGACACGTTTTAATTTTCTGCACCGTGTTGTACCTTGGGACAGAATTACGGTTGTAATTCTGTCCCAAGACAGATTGTAAGTTGTCTGGACAGATTGTAAGTTGTTTATTTTTAAAACGCTTTATAGTTAGCCGAATTTGTTTTGTTTTTTTTTAGAACTATGCCTCGCAGCAAAGACGGCAAGACGCGGGTGAAGATCAACCAGCAGTCTTTAGAAAGTGCAGTAAACGATGTTCTGAAGGGATTACTTACGGTTAATGAGGCTGCACGAAGGTATGAGTTAAGCTATTCGACTTTGAGTAGACACTGTCAAAAATACCTTTCATTAAACCATAATGATGAACAGCCTAATTTTATGTATGACAGTGAAAAAAAATGCTGTAAAAAAGGTTTTTCCAAACGAACAAGAGCTTATGTTAGTTAGTTATCTTAAAAAATCAGCTGCTCTGCATTACGGCCTTACAAAAAAATACACACTTAAACTAGCCTTATAGTATGCGAAAGGCTTGGCAGAGCAGGAAAATAACAAAATCAAAGTTCCAAAAGAATGGATTACCGCAGAATCTGCTGGAGAGTTCTGGTTACGTGGCTTTAGGAAACGCCACCCTACCCTAAGCTTACGTAAACCCGAGCCTACGAGCCTTGCAAGAGCAACAAGCTTTAACAAAGACAACGTGAACAAATTTTTCGATCAATTACAGCTAGTCATAGAAAGACATCAGTTTCAAGCAAACGAGATCTACAATCTTGATGAATTAGGTAATTCAACAGTCCATGTGCCTCCTAAAATTCTATGTACAAAAGGAACAAAACAGGTTGGTTCTGTCACTTCAGGGGAAAGAGGAATTAATATAACGATGATAGCATGTGTCAATGCTATTGGGAACAGCGTTCCACCAATACTTATTTATCCTCGTGTTAATTTTAAACAACATATGCTCATTGGGGCCCCAAATGGTGCAATTGGTGGTGCAAATCCAAGTGGGTGGTCCAATGAAGTGTTATTTGTTGATTTCTTGAAGCACTTCATCAGGCATGTGAAACCTACTCGAGACAAACCTGTCTTGCTTATTTTAGACAACCATGAATCTCACATCTCGATTGAAGCTTTAAATTTAGCGAAGGAAAACGGCGTGGTGATGTTAACCTTCCCACCACATACCTCACACAAGCTTCAGCCGTTAGACCGAACTGAGTTTGGCCCGTATAAAACATACTACAGCAGTACCATGAGTGGTTGGATGTTATCTAATCCTGGAAAACCTATCCAGATATATGATGTTGCTGGATTAATTGGCAGTGCTTACAACAAAGCATTTACAAAAGAAAATATTGAGAAAGGATTTCAGGTGACAGGAATATTTCCATTTGAAAGAAACATTTTTACTGACAACGAGTTTCTTTCATCCTACGTAACTGATCGTGAACTGGTTCAGGAAAATACAAATGGTAGGCCTACAACCATTAAAAAGACTCAACGACGAAGAAATGACGTTGTGTTGGATTCTACCAGTCATTTTGAAGCGAGTGAGACTTTAGCCCAGCCTTCATCATCGTCTATCTGTCACCTACAGATCCCATCAACATCTAAAATCGTGACACCAGAAACGATTCGCCCGTTTCCAAAAGCCCAGATGAGAAAGAAGACCGTAAGAGGAAGAAAACCTGGAAGGTGCAGAATACTGACCGACACGCCAGAAAAAAAGGAGATTGAAAATAACAAAAATAAAAAGAAAAGAAGTTTTGTCACTCCTAAACAACTGTTTTCTGATAGGAAGAAGAACAAAAATAATTCCAAAAAGAAAAACAAAGACAAAATTATAGAGACCTCCAGTTCTGAGGATGAAGAAATGACTTTTTTGTCTGACGAAGAAGATTGTGATATATCCGTGCAAGAATTAATACAAGGAATTTTGGAGGAAGAAATGGATATAGCCTTACAGGAGAAGATTGAATGTGAAGAAATAAAACAAGACGATTATGTTTTAGTTAAAATTGATGGCAAGAAGAAAACTGTTTATTATGTAGCAAAAGTCGTACAAAAAATAGACATTTTGTATGAAACTCAATATCTTGTTAAAACCGGAAGAAATACTTTTCTCTTAAGAAATGAAACTTTATATGAAATAGACGAGGGAGAAATCATATGCAAGTTGCCTTCGCCCTCAACCACAGGAACCTCGGAGCGTTTGAAGCAATCACTCAAGTTTCCTGTGAATTTCAGTGCATATGACATGCCCATGACCTAATTAGGTAAAAGTAGCCGTTATAAGAGATTTGCTCTAATGTTTTGTATTTTTATAGTCTTTATGTAAAAATTTTTGTTGCTCTAATATTTTGTATTTTTATGAGGATTACCTAAGATTTATTTCCGAAATTGATTTTTTTGTTCACTAATTTTTTTGTTGCTCTAATGCTTTGTATTTTTATGAGCATTACATAAGGTTTATTTGCTTAATTGACTGTTATTGTCCAATAATGTTTTTATAGCTTTAATGTTATGTATTTTTATATGCATTACATAAGATTTATTTGCTTTATTGATTTTTTCCCTTTCACTCCTTTACTTAGTCCTAAGGTACAACACCCTGTATCCCAAGGTACAACACCGTGATGTACCTTGGGATACTTAGCAAGGGTGAAGAAAATATTTTTTTACTCCCTTGTCAATTGACATATTTTATATTTTAAAACATTAATAAATTCCCTAAAACATGGACTTTAAGTCAGTATTAATAAAACTATTATAAAGTTTGCCCAAGTAATAATAAAAATCTTTGTTTCAAAACCGTCCCAAGGTACAACGCTTTCCCCTACCTACTTCGAATTAAGATATTTATTATAATTTAGACTTTTTTAGCTTAGTTTTGTGCAAGATATTTCAAACATTTTTTCTTATTTTTTAAGGCAATAACCAGTGGTTGGCCGACTGCCAATCACTAAACCACAGGGTTGCCAATAACTGTAATGTGTGATAAGAATGTATCTTTTGTCCGTATTTGTATTTGTAAAATTACAATTGTTTTAGTTGTTATAAAATTAGTGCTAAGATGGGCATATTAAATCAAATTTGGAATGTCCGTATTGTAGCTAACATTATTACTAATAAATGATTTTTATTTTTAGAATAAAAAATGCCAAATATCCGGAAAGATAAAACGTACTACAAACAATATACAGAACAAGATCTTTAGTCTGCTTTGCAAACCATAGAAAATGGCATGGGCCAACGAAAAGCCGCTGAACAATTTAATGTACCAAGAGCAACATTGCAGTTTAAAGCAAGTGAAACATTTAATGAAAAAACTTTGCCTGGGTCCCAATCCTATTCTTTGTTTGGAGGAAGATAATTGTTTAAAGCATTGGATCATAACATGCCAAGACAAAGGTTTTCCAGTAAGAGTGCAAGATATACAAGAATTGGTTAAAGGTTTTCTTAACGCAAATCCACGTGCCAATCCTTTTACTGAGAATCGACCCGGAAGTGGTTATAGGTATAGCTCCTTTTTAAAGCGACACCAAGATTTAAGTGAGAGAACTCCAAAAGCAGTAACGGCAGCAAGTTCAGTTGTGTCTGAAAGAGATGTAAAAAAATGGTTCACGGGTATTTAAGAATACTTGCATCATAAAGGTTACATTGATATTCTTCAAGACCCTCCACGCGTTTTAAATAGAGATGAAACCTGCTTCCTCTTGGGTCCCAAAAATAAACGAGTGTTGGCTGTAAAGGAAAGCAAAAATGTATATCAAATAAAGCATCACTCTAAAGTTAATTTGACGGTTATGTTTACCTTTGCAGCATCTGAAGAAATAACAGCACCAATGATTATGTACCCTTATAAACGAATTCCTAGCAATATTTTAAATTCCGTTCCACGAGAATGGGGCATAGAATGTAGCAATACGGGAGGGATGAAGAATGAAGAAAACTTCTTTGAATACATAGGAAACGTCTTATATAAGTACCTAGTTGCGAAAAACACTAATTTTCCAGTCATTTTGTTCGTTGATGGACATAAAACTCACTTAACCATTCAAACCAGTAAATTATGTTCAAAGTTACAAATTATTTTAGTGACCTTATATCCCAATGCAACCAGAAATATACAACCTACAGATATTGCTGCATTTAAACCATTAAAGGCAAATTGGAACCGGGCAGTATTAAAGTTTAGACGCGAAAACCCGAACTCAGTAGTTACCAAAGAGAATTTTGCATTAGTACTAAACACAGCCATTAGTCAGTTAAAATCAGATGCCATAATTAATGGCTTTAAAGCATCTGGA